TAGACAGACCTGCGGAGATAATAACATGCACAAAAACAAGACAGAGCAAAACCAAGCAACAATATACAACAAAACAATAACAACAAACCAATGACAAAAAAACAAAAACAAAAGCAAACACAACAAGAAAGAAAGGCTTGTAGTTAGTTCAAGGACTGTTTGTTGTCCTTTAGGAGTGTTTTCTAGTCGAGTCTGTTGGGGCAACAAGCCCTGGCTCCAAAGTCTGTTTTTGGTATTCCCTGGGGACTTTGTTGCTCTACTCCCCTTGCTGTTCTGTTCCATGCCCTTAGTGTTCTGCCTCCGTGTGGAGGCATCAGATCGGGCGCAGTTCCCACACTATGTCTCCAGTGTTGTCCCCTGTAGGGCTGTAGGTCAGTGAGAGATGTCATGTCTCATAGTGGGGCCGGCCATATGGTCTTCTCTGTGGATTGGCTGCTCTGAGCGGGAATGTGCTCCACTCTCTCTTCCTCCCCCTTCATTTGCTCCCATGTGCTCTGATCAGACATGTCCCTCTCCCGGAGCTGCTGCTTCAGTGCTGTCCTCTGAAATAAATTCTTCTGGTGGGTAGGCTCCTATTATACTATTGAGATAATAGCTCATGGCAAGCTATGGTCAAGAAGAATTTTAAAATCTTGTTTGTTTTCATGTAAGCTCAGCCAGGTTTCCATTTCTTCTCTAATTCTCTGAATTTCTAATACTTTCCACTAAAATTCACATTCTTTGCTTCTTAGGTTTGCAGATTATTGGTAATTCCATTGAAAATAAATTATTCCTATATTTTCCTAACTCTTAGCAATGCCTATTTTTTTAGTATGGAAGATCTTCTAATTCTGAAGTTTAAACTCTTCTGGTCTTGGGAGATGTCCTGGAGAAGGAGATGAAAATCTTCGTATGAATGGCTCCAAGTTAAAGGACCTTGAGAAATCCAAGTCCTGAGATTTCTGTTGAGTTATTAAATGAATGACAAGACTCGCTTAGTGGTATCTCAGTAATTGTTTACTGGCACTTCTAGGCCAAGATAAATATCTGACATTTAGTTTTACTAAGTAGTAAGACTCAAATGACATAATAGATATCTTTGTTCTAAGAACGTAGTGCCGTTTTTGAGATCGCACCATTTTTCCAACTCTGGAGTCATATTTCTATTCTACATTACTTTTGTATGGTGCTTTTTACAGGAGCCTCTGGAAATCTACACTTTTAAAGACAGGACACCATCACAAGGAATAGAGTGATCCAAACTGGGAAATGGGAATTACCTCACGTGGCGTAGTGGTTACGCGTTGGCCTGCGATCCACAGAGTCTGCAGTTCAAAACCACCAGCATCTCTGAGGGGGAAAGACTGGGTTTTCCGTGCCCATAAACAGTTCCAGAAACCCACAGGAGTCACCAAGAGTCAGCATTGACACCTGGCAGTGAGTTTGGTTGTTTTTGTCTTGTAATAGCTCTCCGCTTCCAGCAGATGTCACTGTACTTCCCTTGAAAATTTAAACAATCCCATGACTCACCTGTAGTTTTCTGTAGAGACCCAGGGTATAGTGGCATATAATTTGGAAATTCCCAATTGAAGATAATGGTGATAAAAGTAATAGTAATTTTATGATCAATATAATTGATGATCTATATAATCAATGCTAAAGCTACAAATCATACAAATTACATATCATACAAATCGGTCTTAGACACATTCACTTCTTCAGAAAATTGCTGAATTATTGACTTTTACTTGGCAATGTTTTTTTAGAGAAGTAATGGCGTGTAGTGGCTAAGAGTATGGTATTTGGATTTACATTCCCCTTCTCTGTGGAGGGTTGGTAAAGTTACCGCATTTTTTGTTTGTTCGTTTGTTTCCATATGTTCTGTTTTCCTTTTTTAAATTTAATCGTTTTATTGGGGGCTCATACCACTCTTATCACAATCCATACATACATCCATTGTATGCCTAGCACATTTGTACCTTTGTTGCCATCATCATTCTCAAAACATTTTCTTTCTACTTGAGCCCTTGGTATCAGCTCCTTTCCCCCTTACTCCCCGCTCCCCCCTCCGCCATGAACCCTTGATAATGTATAAATTATTATTATTTTGTCATATCTTACACTGTCCGGTGTCTCCCTTCCCCCACTTTTCTGTTCTCCATTCCCCAGGGAGGAGGTTATATGTTCATCCTTGTAACTATCACATTTTTTTAGCTTTATTGAGATCCTGAAAAATCAGATAATCAAATTTACATATGAGATTTTATAGAGACTAAGTAGTAGCATGCTAATAAATACTTGCTACAAGAGAATGACAGTTCCTGGCACAGGATGTATCCAAATTACATTGAATGACATGTAATATTGTATTTTATGATTTGTTTGTTTTCTGTATGCATATTTATAACAACATAATCTGTGAATTTATATGCAATGTTTCCAGCCCCAAAGACAAACAAATATCGAATTCATGGAGGTACTTATAATAGAAGGCAATAATAATGAAAACTTTTAAAGAAAATGTGCTATTTGTCTTACATCCGCACCAGTTCACCAGTACAATATTTAAGGGGCATTTCGGCCCACGAATCAATAGTCTGGGCTACTGAGCAGTCAGAAAATGTAGATGCGCCAAGACGTGGTGATTTACGTGCATGATAGCATCTGTGTTTGAAATAAAAGTTTTAATTTAGTCCAAATATTTGAAAAGATATCAGAAATCAAATTTTCAGGGGGAAATTATTAGCTTTGTACATTAGATTAAGCCTCACTTCTTTATATTTCCTCAGCATTGATACTCTTCCCATTAAGCTCACTTGAGAAAAAGCACTGGTTTCACTCCTGGTCCAGACAGTGGGATAATGAAACAACATGGCCCTAGGATGCTCAGTGGTGGCCTGACTGTGCTGTCTGTTGGCCTTTTCTGGTTGAGAACATAGTACAAGGACTCCATCTAGACTGTCTGCCAGGAGGCGTTCATCAGTTATTAGTTAGCTTGTGATGCTATCACACCAAACACGTTATTATCCCCTCTTCTTAGCTGACAAATCCTGCCTTAGCTGATGAGCCAGCTTCAACATGTCAAGTGCCCAAGACCGAAACACAATCAACTGCCCCCCAAACTTGCTTATTTTAAACAAAACTATTTATAAATAGATTTCTTCATCTTAGTTCAATAGATTCTTTCCCCTTCAAAACAGATTTCTTTGTTTATTGGTGAGACATGGGCCTGTAAATTCTCCAAATGGGTTGCAGATTCTTTAATTCATTTTATCTGTGTCCAAGTTGCTCTCTTGCATGACTTAAATCTCCCTCATGCTGCTTTACCTTTTTAAAGCCTTTGTCTCAAGCATTAAAAAGCAGCTCCTGAAATGCTGTGCTGTTCTGTTAGCAATCACAATAGCTGAGTCTTCTGTGTGGGCAAACAGGCATTGACAGAACTCTGTTGTAACCAGCTTGGCCTCTGTTCCCAATGACACTGTAGTCAGATGTAGGGAACCCTGTTGAGAGTGGCATCCTACAGCAGGAGAAGATGGGCACCATGAAGTGGGAACAGGAAGATGGCAGTGATTGGAATCTGTACTGAGTAGCAGTTGTAGAAATTCTCTCAAGTTTGAAGTCTTAAACTTAGTCATTATTCAGTAAGTTATTTTATGAATTTTAAAAAGAACTAGATGAACAGCCTTTTTCGTGGAAATATGTCCCTGTCTAGAGACAAAAAATACTGTTCTGATATTTGTCTGCAGTCACATATTGCCTGTAATCGCTGACATTTTCCTCTTTCTAACTTTATATTTCTAGTTCTCACTAGAAGTTATTTACAAAGAAATTGAGATTCCATTAAAAAAATCCACAGGGGGGAAAAAAAGCTATAAAAAACTACCACCCAAATTTATTTTATCATTTTATCTTTATTATTTTAACTTTCTGTATGTTCAATGTTTCCTTAAAAAATGGGTTGATAAGTACTTATAATTTTTAAAAATGAGTTTGAATTTTATCTAAATAAAGAAACAAATTGGATGCATCCAGTACCTTGGTCAGTCTATTCCTTTAAATGATAATTATTTAGTGAAACACCAACATCACCCTTAATGTGATGACGCATATCCTTTGAACACAAAATGATACCAAATGAAGAAATAGTATATCATTTGTGTTACTCTTTATAATTGTTGCAGGGTTTAGCACAGGAGAAAGAAAAGTAATTTCTAAAACCGAGGTGCTTAAAATGTTTCAAAACCTGAAGATTAATGACTTAATATTTTTCTTTTGTTTTTCTTTCTCAAATGATTACAGTATGCTTAAGTATAATTCAACAGAAAAGGCAACGTAGTTAAAATTTTTAACATTAGCATACTATTTTCATTCTAAGTAACAATGACATTAGCAGATTATGCTGTTCCCCGCCCCAAAAAAACACTCACCAATACATGTGCTTGTTTTGATGTTACATATGCTTTTAATATCTATAAATACAGATATAACTTCATTTGAGTGAGATTTCATTTGATTGAACTTTCTTAACTGATTATACACAGAGTTTCTCACTGTAAAATTAGAACTATTAGTGTTTGCCTATATTAAATGGAAATGTTAAGGTTCACAAAACTTGAGAATCTTTGAGCAATTAAAATAGAGCTTAATCACTCTGATTATTCTTAGATGATCGACTCTGGCTTGAGAAAAAATTTGAACTGACTTTTAATTAAGCCCCTGTGCATGATACCACATTGACTCAGCAAAGCCACGTATCATTCAACTGTAGAGGATTTTGATTTTAAGTGTTAAATAATAATAGAAGGAGACAGGTCCTTAACATACATGTTTACAGTATGGATATAAAACTCTTTAATCATTTCACATTCAATATTTATTTGATTGTCAAATACGTGAAAGAGTTTTCATTTGCGGTCTGCTGTCCTACAAAGTATGACTATCTAAACATGCACCCTTGGTACAGGAATTGCTTGGTTAACTAAGTGCTCTAAAACATTGCAAACTCAGGTGCAGCCACCGTTAAAATCATAACAAACAGAAGGCTAAAATGGGACCGAGTTTGGTTGCAGATAGCAGCTTTGTTGTTCTTGGTTTGTCATCACACTTTGAAAGAGAAAAGCAGAACTTCCAGTGTCTTGCTCAGGATTTTTTGAAGAGTCCATGGAAAGTGACAGGGATGTTAATCTCCACTTCAGCTCTGGCAACTTCACTCAAATCCTTGGCATTGAGGATCAAGAGGTAGGCAGGCTTTTGCCCTGCCCCAGGGCTCACCACGATGCTTAGGACCACACCTGTTAGACAGAAGTAAACGAGGGAGAGTTGTAGAAGATCCCAGACCTGAGCCATTACAATAACAAATAGAGAAAACTCAATGGGAAACCATATAACTTCACACTTGGATTTGAGTCTTCTACCTGGCTGTGTGACCACCTTGGACTATGTACCTATCCTGTTTCCTGGGCTATGAAGTGCAAGAGGGAGTGTCTTCCCTGTGTGTCTTGCGCACTACTGCATCCCAATAGTCTAGAACAGTGATTCTCAAGCTTCCTAATGCTGTGACACTTTGATACAGTCCCTCATGTTGTAGTGACCCCCAATCATAAAATTATTTTCGTTGCTACTTCATAACTGTAATTTTGCTACTGTTATTAATTGTCATGTAAATATCTGATATGCAGGATGTATTTTCATTGTTACAAATTGAACATAATTAAAGCATAGCGATTAATCACAAAACAATATGTAATTATATATTGTGAAATATTTATGCATTTTCCGATGGTTTTAGGTGACCCCTGTGAAAGGGTCGTTCGACAACCCAAAGGGGTTGTGACCCAAAGGTTGAGAACTGCTGGTCTAGAACAATGACTTGCATATAGTACGTATTATAAGTTAAGTTGCCTCCCTCACCCCCCACCACTCATCAGTTTGTCCTACAGAGGTGTCTGGTATGTTGCTGTGATGGTGGTTGCTATATCGCCTGTATTTCAAATACCAGTAGGGTCACAAAAGGTAAACAAGTTTCAGTGGAGCTTCCTGGCAAAGAATAGACAATGAGGATGCAATCGGCTGTTCACTTCTGAGGAATTCATTACTGAAAACTTTATCAATGGCAGCCTAACATTGTCATATATAGAGTTAGAAGATGAGCCCTTTGGGTCAGAAAGCAATCAAATTATGACTGAGGAAGAGCTGCCTTCTCAAAGTAGAATAAACCAAAGTGACGTAGATGGAATAAAGCTTTCAGGATCTTCATTTGCTAATGAAGTTCATCTCAAAATGATAAAAATAAACAATCAAAACACCTTCAAACAGCTTTTAATAATAAGAACATGAAATGTAGGAAATACGAATCTAGGAAAATTGGAAGTGGAATGGCACACATAAAGATTGTTATCCAAGGCATTAGTGAGCTGACATGGATTGGTGTTGGCCATTTTGAATGAGACAACTATGTGGTTTCCTATGCCAAGAATAACAAACTCAAGAGCAATAACGTCATACTCATCTCCAAAAAAGAAATGTCCAGATCCGGCTTGATGTACAATGTTCTCTGTGATAGGGTAGTTTTTTCCCCCCAAGTAGAAATCCAATTCATGCAACTATTATTCAACTTAATGAAGAAATTGAAGAATTCCAACTCTTTCAGTCTGAAATTGATTGAAGATGTAATCAAGATGCATTAATAATTCTTGGTGACTGGAATGTGATAGTTGGAAACAAAGAAGAACAGTCACTTGTTGGAGAACATGGTCTTGGTGATAGAAACATGATAGCATTTTCAAGACTCATGAGTATTTCCTTCATAGCAAATACTCCTTTAAACAACATGAACTGCAGTTATACACATGGATCTCAGCGGATGGAGTGTGAGTGGTGAAATTGACTGTATCTATGGAAAGAGACGGTGGGGAAGATCAGTATTATCAGCCAAAAGAAGGCCAGAGACTGACTGTGGAACAGATCGTTAATTGTTCATAAGAAAATTGAAATAAGTCTACACAAGTCAAAATACAACCTTGGGTATATTAAGAATATTTTTAAATAGCTCTGATACATTAAACACTACTGACAGAAGCCTGATAGGTTGTGGGTCAACACCACGAACATCAAAAATGAAGAAGGAAAATGGTTATTTAAAAGACAGGAAAGACAGACAAGAAAAACTTAAGTGTCTGAAACTTGCTCGTGATTGAAGGGTGACTAAAGCACATGGAAGACATGAGGAAGGAAAAGAATTGAATCGAAAATCCCAAGGAGCAGTTAGAGAAGACAAAGTAAAGTTCTAAAGTGGAATGTTCAAAGACGTGGAGACAGAAAGTCTAAAAGAAAGAATGTGTTCAGCATATACCAAGCTGAAAGAACTACAGAAAAAACTCAAACCTCTAGTTGCAATATTTGAGGATTCTATGGGCAAAATATTGAACAACACAGGAAGAATCAAAAGAAGATGGAAGGATTTCACTCCCTTTTGGCAAGACATTTGGAAGTCCCCTACTAGGCCATCTGGCTGGAAGAGATCCATCTTTGTGCCCATTCCAAATCAAGGCAATGCACCAAAATGTGGAAATTATCAACCAATAGTATTAATATCATATGCAAATAAACTTTGCTCAAGACAATTCAACAATGATTGCAGTAGAACCCATTGACGTGGAGCTCCCAGAAGTTCAATCCAGATTCAAAAGGGGACACAGAAAAAGAGATGTCATTGCTGATTTCAGATAGATCTAGACTGAAAGCAGAGAACACCAGAAAGGTGTTTACTTGACTATGAAAGACAATCAACTCTGTGTATCACAACAAATTATTATCAGCATTGGGAAGAATCAGAAATCCAGAATATTTCATTGTGCTCCTAGGGAACATGAATAGGGATTAAGAGGCAGAGAGGCAGTTGTTCAAGACCAACAAGGACACACTGTGGTTCCAAATCAGGAAAGTTGTGCATCAGCGTTACAGCCTTTCACCCTACTTATTCAATCTTTATGCTGAGCAAATGATCAGAGAAGCTGGACTGTATGAAGAGGAGGACGATATCAAGGTTCAAGAAAGGCTTGAACTAACAACCTGCAATATGCAGACGACACAGCCTGCTTGCTGAAAGCCAAGAAGACTTGAAGCGCTTGCTAATGAAGATTCAGGTCTGCAGCCCTCAGTACGGATTGCAACTGAATATAAAGAGAACCCAAATTTCACAACTGGAATAGTAGGACCATAATAAAGGGAGAAAATATTAACGTTGTCAGGAATTTCATTCTGCTGGGATGTACAATCAATGCTCATGGAAGCACTAGTCGATAAATCAAATAATGTACTGCACTGGGTAAGTCAATGGCACTTGAAAAACCTCTTTAAAGAACTGGAGAACAGGAGTGGCACGTTGAGGACTAATGTGCACCTCCCTTAAGTCACGTTATGTCAGTCATCTCACATGCAGGTGAAAGTCGCCCAATGAATAAGGGAATCTGACGAACTGATGCATTTGAATTATGAGAGCAGTGAAGAATATTGAAAGTATCAGGAACTGCCAGTACAAACAAGTCTGTCCTGGCAGAAGTACAGTCAGAATGCTCCTTGGGAGCACGAATGGTGAGAATTTGTCTCATGACATGGGCATGCTACCAGGAGAGACTCGTACCTGGAACAGGACATCCTCCTTGGTAAAGCAGAAGGAGAGTGGAAAAAGGCAGATCCTTGATGAGGTGGACTGACACAGAGGCTGCACCAATGGGCTCAAACGTAACAACAATTGTGAGGATGGTGCAGCAACAGCCAGAGTTTTGCTGCGTTGTACCCAGGATCACTCTGAGTCAGAACCAATTGGAAGGCACCTCACAACACCCTCCCATCCACCAAATCAAGTTTTTCTGAAGCCCAAACCTCTGGACCTGACCTTTGGAATGGACTCTCTCTTTCTTTTTTTTATATGTCAACTAAGTCAAACAGCGTATGGTGGATCCTAAAGCTAATCATTTCTGAGTTGTTGTTAATTGTCATCTGGCTCATGGTGATTCCAGGTATGCAAAGTATAACTGCTCTCTATGGGTTTAAAGCTGTGACCTTTCAGAAGCTGATTGCTCCTCTTGTCTGCCAAGGTGCCTCTGGGTGAGTTCAAACTACCAGGCTTACAGCTAGTAGTCGAGGACTTAATGTTTGCTTTCATCACTCCTGGAAGCTGTCATGAAAAAGGGCAAAGAAGCCACAGAGGTGCACCACCGTGGGGTGCCGGGTCCCTTCTACAAGTGAAAGAGCACCCAAGAGTACAGGCTGACAACAGGATCCAGGAGCAAGGCCCCCAGAAGACACCAACAACCAAGGGCATGATTTGGATGGCTAACCTCTCGGACTGGGGACAAAGTAAATATTTTGTGACTATTCTTTAAAGTCATTCACTTGTGGTAGTTTTTGTTGTGACAGCCCTAGGTCACTAAGAGAGTGGATGCTCTCTGACTGCACGGGTGATTGTTCCTACTCAAAACGCATGCTGTTCCCTCTCTCCCCACCTTCCCACTCCCTCCCGGCATCACCGCCTACTACACGGGTCTACATATAACCTCCTCCCTGGGGGTGGGCAACAGGAAGGTGGGTGAAGGGAGACGTCGGACAGTGTAAGATATGACAAAATAATGCTAATTTATAAATTATCTAGGGTTCATGCGGGAGCGGGGAGGGAGGGGAAAATGAGGAGCTGATGCCAAAGGCTCCAGTAGAAAGCAAATGTTTTGAGAATGATGATGGCAACACATGTACAAATGTGCTTGACACAATGGATGGATGGATGGATTGTGATAAGAGTTCTACGAGCCCCCAATAAAATGAGTTAATAAAACAAACATGTGGCAATCAAATAGGAATGTATATTAAAGGACTCTAAAGCAGTAGGGTATATTATTTCTGTAATGTCGAAGACCAACAACATGAAGGCAAGTCCTTTTCAGTTGTGACCGGGTGGGCTGTGCATGTAAATCGGCTTAGCATGATACGGCTCCACAATTAACTATATTACTTGCTTTTCTTTGGTTTTCCATATCTCGGTCTTATTTCTCATGTGTCCCAGCTAACCTGTAGGTAGCTAAGAACGATGTTTTGCAGTTGAGTTGCTATTTTATAGGCTGCCTCTTTGGAACCCTTTCGAACCCCATTTGCCGAAAGACGAATTCTTTTCCATACATGCATACATCTCTGTGGAAGGACAAAACCCTCGAAGTGTGTGTCGCTTTTCTTCCCCCTTCTCTCTCTCAACCGGAGAAGGCCCTGATAACTCATCAGACACAAAATGGCGCCTTCGCCATTGTTCCCGTTTTCCGTCTGTTTCGGCTCCCAGCTCCAAACTTCAAGGGCACGGCCACGAAGTCCTTTCCCTGTGGACCTCTTTACAGGAGTACTGTGGACTAAGGAGAAGTGGCCCCAAAACAAAACTTCTCTGCCATCTATCTCCTGGTTAAATTCGTTACTGCTGTCCTGTTCAGTCGGATGAAGGCTCATTTCACGCTAAGGCCTCTCCTCAAGGACTGACATAGAAACCCAGTAAAGAGGCAGTGTCGGGACGCGTCCCCTGGTTGAATTACCGTCATCTTCGTCCATGGCCTCGGGGTGCGACACAAAGATGGGCTCTGATGGGTAGGAATCAGCCTCTTGCCAAACCCAAGTTTCTTTTGTTTTGACGTTCAGCTTACAGAGCTGCTTGCAACAAAGCAAAATAAACAATACACCGTTTAACCAGCTGTACTTATGTGACTGACATGATTCAAAGTACTGTGTCAAAATTAGTAATAGAGATGAATTACCCTGTCTGGAACAAAGTGATTCAAGCCAAGTCCATAGGCATAAGTATAAGGTTTTCCACTATACTTCTGGTAATTGATTTGAGGAAATTCAAACGCTACAAAATAGAGCCCAAGTGTAGAAAAACGTAATTTATCTCTTTGAATGTCATCAATTGGCTCTTTCTGAGTCAGATTTCTTTAATTTCTTGTTACGACTGTCTCACCTTGGCGAGGCCCCGCGAACAGAACCTCGGGTTCCAGCCAGATGGTCTCGTCGCTGCACAGGATGGCAGTGGCAGTGGTGTTGGGGAGCGTGACCAGATTCTTGCCCGTGTCAGCCTGCGAGGGGCGGAACAGCGGAGGCGAGTGTAAAGGAATGCGAGAACAAACCGCCCGAACCGCAGTCTTCGGAGGTTTCGTTTCTGGATCGCGCCATGTCGTCCTGCAGAGAGAAGCAGGGCAGAAACGAGAGCCGGGCAGGCCTGGAACGGACTGGGAGAGCTGCTTTTGGCCGTGGCATTGAGTGGCTGTGGGGCCCCGCGGCCTCCCAGTCACCCAGTTGCATAATCTGGGTTAATGCTCAGAGTAAACGAAGGGATCTGGGAAAACAAGCCCCGCGGACAAGCAAACACCAGACAAATGGTTGTGCTGCCAAACCCCGGCCTCTGCAGCCAGCGGGAGGAACCCCCCGGCAGCATTATTTCTTGTATGGTTAGGGTAGACACGTGTGCTCCAAAAGCTTGTAAACAACGCCACGAAAAGCTCATGGATGTTTTTCCAGAAACTTCTTGAAGTCCTCTCATAATTTTTATTCTGTTTGAACACACACGCCAGCACGCATGCTTTATGTTGTCAAAAGGGAAAAGAATACAGAAAAGCCACTGCATCAGATGTTTGCCAAGGGCACGAGCAGGCGCACACTCACCTTTGCAGATGACCGTGAGCTGTTACTAAGAAAACATTTTTAATCCAGCCCTTCAATATACATTTGAGGTCATATTATGTGCTAGACTCAGCGCAGGGTATTTGGGGTATTTCAGAGAATAATTTCCTGCCCCATTGAGCTTAAATAATATAAATAACATACACTCAATATAATTACCAAATGCGTTATATTTATTGCATATTGCTTATACTGCACCATAGATAAGATGATGGAGGGAGGGGCGTAGAACAGATTAAAGGGGAACAGAAGTGTGAAGGATGGGTAGGTGCAGGATTTAACAGGTGGTTGGGGTGGACCTCACTGAAAAGATAGAATTTAAGATAAATCTTGTGGGAGCTGGGGAAATTATCAATGCAGAGAGCTATTTTGGAAAGAGCATGCCAGAAGAGAGACCCGAGGGCAAATGCCTGAAGCCATGGGATGCTTCTAAGGAGCTTCACAGGCCAGGGTTCCTGCCCCTGATGAACCAGGGCCTGGGAGCAGGAGGGGGGCGGGGAGGCAAAGGAGTCAAGTTGGACAGGACTGGATAGCCTATGGGAGGATGTACTCTTTCTCTTTGCATGAGAGGTAGGGGAGTCATTGGAAGGTGTTGTGCAAAGAAATAGCATGTTGCAACTTACTTTTAAAAAGAATCCTTTTGGCTAGTCTGTTGAGAATACCATCCAGAGTAGGGGATGCACTTAGAACTAACCTCTTGCTTCAGTTTGCAAAAGATTCTCACTTTTTATCTGCCTTATTTCCCAGATGTACTGCCTGAAGTCAGATCTTTCATCTCTTGTGCGCAGTTTGGCATTAGTCTCCCACCAGGGCTTGTGGGCTTCTCACCTTGCAATACTTCCCTATGATGTTGCCAGCGTGCTCTTTCTGACATGTCACCATCCCTGCCCCAACCATCTTTAAAACACACTAGTGACTGCCCTTCCCTTACAGAACACTCGAAGGCTTATAAAGACACTCTGAATGTCACTCCCACCAACCTATTTTACTAGTCTGGGGTCTGCTTGCCTTGTCCCTTCCATTCCTCCTAAGCTAGCCCCAGGAGGATTTTACATTTCCATATTAAGTCTTTCTTTTGAAATTCTCCCTTGCCTTTACCAAAGTAGTTTTACCTGTCTGTAATTCCTACTCCACCTGTGCCACTCCCCCACTCCCCATCTTTCAAGGAGTTTATAGAGCAGTACTATCTGGCTTTGCTTACCACACACATTTGATGTAAGCCTTGATACAAAGTGTTACATGCCATTTAGTTGCTGTTGCAACACCTCTTGTGCAATGAAGGACAACATGTACTGTACTATGCATACAAGTCACATTGAATATGTTGACTTTGATTGGCATTTCTTATCACACGAAAATGTCTTACTGTTGTTCTACTGTACTGCAAATCAGACACTGAATATCGAGAACTAAAAGTAGAAATCAGCCAATGAGTATGGAATAAAAATGCAAAATAATGATCTGTCTTCATCTCTCTAGAATGCCAAATGATTTTTTAAATCATTTTATTAGGAGCTCATACAATTCATCACAATCCATACATACATCAATTGTGTAAAGCACATTTGGATATTCATTGCCCTTATCATTCTCAAAACATTTGCTCTCCACTTAAGCCCCTGGCATCAGCTCCTCATTCCCCCCGCCCCCCATGAGCCCTTGATAATTCATAAATTATTATTTTGTCAGATCTTGCCCTGTCCGATGTCTCCCTTCACCCATTTTTCTGTTGTCCATCCCCCAAGGAGGAGGTTATATGTAGATCCTTATAATTGGTTCCCTCTTTCCAACCCACCCTCCCAGTATCGCCACTCACACCACTGGTCCTGAAGGGATCATCTGCCCTGGATTCCCTATGTTTCCAGTTCCTATCTGTACCAGTGTACATCCTCTGGTCTAGCCATATTTGTAAGGTAGAATTGGGATCATGATAGTGGGGTGGAGGGGGAAGCATTTAGGAACTAGAGGAAAGTTGTATGTTTCATTGTTACTACATCACACCCTGACTGGCTCATCTCCTCCTCAAGACCCTTCTTTAAGAGGATGTCCAGTGGCCTATAAGTGGGCTTTGGGTCTCCACTCCGCACATCCCCCCCTCATTCAAAAATGATATGATTTTTTGTTCCTTGATGTCTGATAACTTATCCCTTCGGCACCTCGTAATCACACAGGCTGGTGTGCTTCTTCCATGTGGGCTTTGTTGCTTCTGAGCTAGATGGCCGCTTG